CAAGTGTTTCATTTTTACTTTTTTAATGCAACTACAAAGACATTTAAAATTGTATGCACAGATTGCATTGTTGGCTCTCATTCCATTTCTAGTGGGCAGCACTGGGGTAGTGCAGGGGCTGGCCCATCGTGGGCAGTTCAGAGGGGTTTGTGTGCTGGAGGAGGACTGAGCTTTCCCTCCAAATTCCCTGCAGACTCCAACTTCCATGCTATGGATTGAGGAACTGCCAATAGAAACCAAAAGACCATTCATATGGTCATTGTTAAGTGCAAATGCTTTTCTAGCAGCTAAATCATTGTTGGTTTTAGAGTCCTGCTTAGGTTAAGACCATTTATGGAAGAAGCTCAATGCGATGACTCATTCTTCAAGTGTCTTTGGATTTTGTTTTGGGCATTTTCTCAAGGACCATCCTGTTGACACCTATTGACACAGAATCATAAATTAATGAGACATCATCCTTTAAAAAGGATAGTTGTGAGAGGTGCCTTACAAGAATTTTCTAATTTTTGGGCTAGGAGTATTGCTCAGTGCTAAAATGCCTGTCTATTATGCATGAAGGTTTGCTTTCAATCCATGACAGCACCATAGGAAAAATAAAAAAGAACTTTCCAATTCTTCTTTTCTACAGCATTTTGTAAGTATGATGTTAAGAATTTTAACAAATGAAAAAGTATATTTCAGAAAAGAGCAAAACAACTTAACTGTGAAGAAAAACAGAAGATGAGACAAGGGGGCTCATAAACTCTTTATAATGAATATTCTTCACATTGCAAGGTTGAGTTGTCTCCATAAGTAAATGATCATAATCATCTTTAATAAGGGTGCAAGCACTGTGTCTGTGGATGTGTGAAGGCGAGTTCTGCTAGTCTTTAGAAGGTACTACCACTAGAGATTACAGTGAGCCTCATTGTTTTCAGAGAACAACAGACTTTTCAGATGAGCCTGGAAGCAATATAAATTAGCCTCTTTCAGATCACTGCAAAGCCTAAACCCAGGGCTCCCTCCAGCAATCTCAAGCCCTTCAAGGAGTTTATACACCAGCTAAGGGGTTCACTGCTGTGGTTGAGGCTACAGGAGCTGGAAGAGACAACTTGGAGATCTCTGCCATTGCCAGCCTTGGCCCCTAGCTTGTGTTACTACCTGAGGATCTCATATGATTATAGGAATTTTTTTTTTTTTTTTTTTTTTTTTTTGTCTTTTTCCTTTTTATCGGTACCGGGGATCGAACTCACGGCTGCCTGCTTGCAAGACAGGCGCTTATGCCGCTGAGCTAAATCCCCAGCCCCAATTATAGGAATTTAATTTGGGGTAGGGGAGACTAGGGGAGAGGTTACATTAATCTCAGACCACAAATCTACTTTTTAGCAGTATTGCTTGTTGATGATCTAGAAATTCTGGCAAACTTCAGAATTCCAAAGCTCCACAGGGAATGCTTATCCTATTGCTATCCCTGCTGTTTTATAGGATTTGGCTTTCTGGGAAGCTGGCGATAGACACTCAGAAGTCAAATAACACGAGTGGGTAAGGATAGTCACAAAGGATGATGTAAGGGCATCTCCATGTCAGACAGGGAGAGCTCAGAAACGCTCTGCCTCGTGGATCATAGACAAAAATAGCTGCCATCTGCTGGTGCCAGGTACTTTTTGTGATTCTCTCATTGGAGCCTCACAGCCAACTTATGAGATGGATGCTCTCACTTAATCCATGAGGAATTCAAGGCAGAGGAGGCTTTGCCACTTTTCAGAGGTCATAGTCACTGGGGCTGGCACTCAGTCCCATACCGGTCTCCAGAGCCAGATCTCTTGGCTAACTGTGGTGTTGATTTTGGGGATCCTGTGTCTCCCAGGATCAGGCTGAGGCTGTCTCATAGGAGGTTCACTTGTTGAAACAATTCTTTCCTCTGAGGGAAAAGTGAGCCCTTCAGGAGGAGGGAGGGTAGGTGGCCGGCCAGGACAGAGTCCACGTGTTCTGAGGTCACAGAATGGCCTTCAGAGAAACCTTTGCCCAGCAAAAAAAACACAAAACAAACCAAAAAAAAAAAACCTTGATGATAAAAGATCTTATGCTCTGCATTCCATGGGCATCCTCTCTGTCTGTCTCACTCAGCATAGCAACAACAACATAATGAGACAGAAGTCTGCTAAAGTTGGGACAAGGCATTACTGGTAATTTCAGAAAGTATTCACTCCCAATTACTACCAATAGGAAAGCCGGTGGTTATTATTTCTCCTCGAGACTTGTCTCTTTTGCATTCATAGCTACTGCACTGCTCTCCTGGAACTTCGTACAAATTCAAACCCCTTATAAACTTGCTATCTGTGTTTCCTGATCCCGATTTAGCATAAAATAAGGCCAAGATAAAAGCAGATGCATGTGAAATGGCATCCTTGCCAGGTGGAACCACAAAAGCAACAGTTCACCCCTGTGTCACCTTAGAAAACGTTTAGAAAGCCATGAGGGTGTTGGTCACGCAGTGAAGAGCACAATCAAGGAAAAAGTGTGGGAAACAAAGGCTAGATATATGCAGGGACAGAGAGTTGAGAGCAAAGAAAACATGCTCTCCGACCATATCAGGCGCTTTCTTGTCCCTGTGATAAAATATGCGACACCCACAACTCAAAGGAGGAGAGACATTTTCCACCCATGCGGTTCAGTTCATGGTTGTCTGATTCCAAAGTAGAAAAGGCATGGTGCGAAGGCATGGCAGAAGACAAGTGCTCACCCCATGATGGCCAGGAAGCAGAAAGAGAGAGAAGGGAAGAGCCAGGGATAAGAATGCAGCCTCCCAGGCCACACTCCCAGTGATCCACCTCTCCAACCAAGCCCCACACCCTAGCACCACAGGGAGTCATCGGAGAGTTAATGACCATGATCCAGTGGTTTCCCAAAACCACCACCTCTGAACACAGGAGACTGAGAGAATACTTTGATTTAAACATCATGCTGATTTGGAAGAGTTTGTTTTTATACAGTCTTTACTACCTGAATTATGACAACTACCATTTAAGCAAAGTTATAATACACATCACTTATCAATTGTCGCATGAGCCAGAGAGGAGGACAAAAGAACTGTGTGATGGTTAGTTTTCACTGTCAGCTTGACCAGGTGGAGGGATGTCTACAGAAGTGGCAAAGCATGCTCCTAGGTGTGACTGGAAGGGTGTTTCCACAGCAGACTGGCATGTGGGCTGGCCAGCTAGGTGAGGAAGCCCCATCCTTGCATATGGGCAGCTCCAGCCCTAGGCTGATGGCCCAGGTAGAGTGGAAAAGCAGAAAGGAAAAGCTCTCTTGCCCAGAAGATCCTTGTCCCACATATTTAATATTGCTGTCACCAGTGGGCATTGGACACCAGGTTCGCCAGCCTTTGAACCTGGACTTGGACCAGCGGCCTCCAGGGCAGGCCTTCAGCCCCAACTTGGAGATGTGCTTGGGGGCTCTTTCATTCTGCAGCTTCCAGCTCCTTGCCTTGGGCAGGGACCACTTCCCCAGTTCTGCAGCCTGCATACGGTCATCACGGGACTATTCAGCCTCTGATTCCAGGAGCCAATCTGTTAAAGCACTTAGAATTATATAGATCCTGTTAGTTCTGTTTAACTCTGACTAATGTAAGTGTAAATTATCATGTCACACAAGATCATCTTCATCACTAAAATAATAATTCATGCCATGGGGCCTAGGTCATGGGCCCCATGGCCACAGCCATCAGCACTCCAATCACAGGACCTCCGAGAGGACTATTAACAATCACTTTCTTCAAAGGAAGAACACGGGAGAACACTCAGTGAATAGCTCACCGAGATTGGCCGGTTTCTTAATTATCTAAAAAGACAGTTTCATTTTGGGCCTGTCCTTTCCAGTGAGGAACAGCAACCTGACAGGACAGCCAAGTATTAATAAAGTACGATTTAGAAAAAGAAAATAACTCCGGATTTAATATCACGTAAAGGCAAAGGCTGCATTAAGATGCATAATCAGCACCTTGTTATTATTTATTAATAGCCACGATGCAGAACCTGGTTCCACAGAGACTGAAGTCAGCCTTAAGTGCATGACTCATGCACAGGGCTGATCTACATAAATAGCATGTGCTAAGATTACCATCTGGTATAACAATCTACATCACAAGACTCCACATTTCCTGTTACCCAGGGTAAGTAAATTTCAAGCATGAGGGAAAATTTTAGCAAGTTTCTCCAAGTACCTTCACTGAGAGGCGAATGCGGCTTACACGGAGAGGAGGCGCAGGGAAATTATGAGGTAAAGGTTATTCTCTCTTTCATCTCCCCTGATTTCCTCCTCACAGCAGAAGAGAAACGCCACCTCTGCAATCCTGCTCCTATCATTTGTGAAATCGAATTGGCAGCTTACAAAGTCCCTCACAAAAGCACTTCAGGCGCACTTTAAGACAGTTTTCCAATATAGCTTTAGAAGCAAAGTGCTCTACGTTTGAACACTTTCCCCCTTACTTGTGCCTTCTTCTCTTTCTCTTCCTACTTTTTCCTTTTCTTGCGTGAAGGCATTGACACGTGCCAGGAAAGCTGACCAGGAGGCTGCGTCCCTGAAGCCTGCCTTAGTGTCTCCTGTTTCCGATAAGGACGTCACATCTGAAATCATTCTCATCCTGTGCTGATTTTGTGGGCGAAGGTTTTTCTACTCAGAACTGCACCATCGCTGCCATTCCTAACTCTAACCCCCCATCAGAGGCAGATGGGTGACTTTCTGCCCCCCAGCTTCCTCCATGAGGCCTCCACACACATCTCTCTCCCTCAGTTTCCCCCAGAATCACAGAAGCCTGCGGAGGGTCTTTTAAGGCTTGGGGTCTTTTATGCCAGCATCTCCATTTTTTATTTGGTTCTTCAGAATCTTTTTTAAAACTTTTTAATTCTGTTTCTTTCAAATTTTCACAAACATGAAATTTTGTAATTTAGATTGTGATAATATATTCAGGCTATAAAGTCATAATAATGCAGTCAAATATATGTATATATATCATTTGAAAGTTTTGTACTGTTTAAAGGAATTCATATTGTACAATTTAAAGGCATTAGCAGAGTGTTTAAAACAACTAAGAAGAAAGGTTTATTTACTGCAAACCTTGCTTATGAACAATGACTACATTTTTAATTAATAACACAGATCCTTTTGCACAATACTTTATAAAAGGAATCAACATCTTTCCTGTGAAAAAGTTAGAAAGCAAATATTTTAGGTTTTACAAGCCAAGAGGCAAAAGAGAGGCTATTATGTAGGAACTTACATAACACAAAAATAAAGACAAATCTCCACAAAGTTGTAAGTTAACAAGTATTCAAAATATTGTAAAACTTGAGTGCAAATGTCTGTAACACAAACCTGCTAAAGAAAGAGAGTATTGTTTTGGGAAGAGGGAAAGGAGTGGGAAAATTTTCAATAGTTAAGATTCAAAGTTAGTGTTTCTGTTAACAAAGGGTCCTAACACTCACCCGCATTGTTGTTCGCTCACTGGGTACGCAAAGACAGACAGTTAGTGGACTGGAACTGTGAGCCATAATTCACCAACCTCCGTTTTAGAGTTTTGGATGCTTTCAAGTGAGCAAAACATTCTCATGTATATCGGTCACAGTAGTTCTGCAAGAAAGACAGATGGATGCACTGTCCTGCCATTATTGAAGTCTTTGAAACTTCCACGAGTGATTTGATATCCCGAAAGAGCACAGGCAGAAGAAGATGATGGAACCAAGACTTGGCTTCAACTCTTCATTCAGAGCAGTCTGATCTAGAGCATATACCAAGTCTTTGCTTCCTCTGATTTGGTAAGCTAAAAATTAAGCTCTTGTGCTATCCCAAAATAACACCAATATCATCTAAAAGAGTTTTGGGACTCAGCTGTTGTATCAGAATATCTTCAAGGGTGACACATCTTTGCCTTAGTCAACAAACCTGGCCTTGGGAAACAGCCTCAAAGCCTTTGATGCCAAATGTCAAACTTAATTTGAATTGTAAACAACATTTGGCTGTAATATACAGATTTGGGGGGGGGGTCCTAAAAGAATGATTTCTGACAAATAATGTCCAGGGAACATTCAAAACGAATTGAAAACCAGATAAATCTTCATTAAGCAAATGCATAGCCTCCCAATTGACTACTATTTATAGAATTTTAGAATTTAGGTGCTTCAGAAATGAATTTTTGCAAGCTCCCAAATTAATAGAAGAAAACTCAGAAAGGTTACTTTGAAGATCAGCACTTACATGAAATGTAAAATTTAACATTGGTTTTAAAATCCTTCTCTCAGGAGAAATAAGCAATGCATGAATTCTTCTCCGGCATCTATCTTGTGAATAACACTGACTATCGTAACACTAAACAAGGACAGGGTCTGTTCCTTAAAAAGACTGAGAAGGCCAGCCTTGTCAAAGAAAGCCACTGGTTCAAATGACATTTTAAAATGTCTCCCAGGGGGAGGGACATGAACAAAGTCTATACACATTGCAAACTCCTCAAAAATGTGAAGTTAGGGAGAAGCAAAGATGGACAAGGGGTATCAGGGGGAGAAAATGAACAGTGTATGTTATGTTCACGTACAAATTTAATCTGTATAACCAACCAAAAAGAGAGCAGAACATTTTTATTCCAATCCCCAAATTATGTGATGCTAAGTAGAATCCACTGGAGACAAAGTCATTACTGAGTGCTTCCTGTGTGCTTTAAGAGTGATCCATTTTTAGCTCATATAAGGTTCACAATAATCCTAGATGCTGGTTCTTATTAACCCCACAGATGAAGAAACCTCGCTTAGAAACATTTGCCTAATTTCACATTCATAGCAAGAGCAAGATATTTGATTCCAACTCAGTCAGTTAGTTAGGGTTCAGATGGAGAAAATCCTGAAGTATAATATATATTTGACTGTGATTGTAGGAACTGGCTGCAGTGTTTATGTACTGCCCTTGCTTTTGCATCTCATGCCAGGGCTGAAGTCAGAAGGCCAAAGATGTGGGAGAGCGTCCTGTGGGGAAATGATGGCAAAGTGCCTTTGGGTGTAATATTTTAAAACGTAAACATTCACCATTTATTTTGATCACACCGAGCGACGTCCATCTCTACTTCTATGTCTACTTTGTTCGTGATCCCATGGACAATAACCAAGGGAGATAGAAAGAGAAATTGATCCAAGGATGTTGTCCACTGTGCTCACATGAAGAGCCTTCTCTCCAAGGCTGCTCCTTGGTGAATACTCAGAGAGGTTCATCTACAAACCACATCCCCAGACCTCCTTGTGACTAATTTTCCAGCAGGCCTCTTTCCAAGTCCCTGGCCATCTAGACAATCCCATGAGTCATGGTATTTACATCTCCACCCCTTTCTCTTTCTGAGCAAAATGTACCAACAGGTACACAGCTTGGAGTTCTGCCCGTGGATGAGCATTTTCATCATCGCAGTCCTGAGGGTCACCCCAAAATGAAACTACTAGTCTACAACCTGTACTTCTAGGTAAGGCCAGCATATTGTGATTAGTTATCTGTAAACCAGGTCCAAACGGACTCCTCCCTCAACTGATGACTAGCAGGGATTCCTTCTGTTCCACTGTCTTGAAGCCATATTTTGGGATTGAAAGAAAGGAGCAAAATGACAGGAAGAGGGATCATAAGTTCCACATCTTTGTTCAAACAATTTATTTTTGCCTTCAGGACCTGTCATAAATGATTTTATTTATGCCACTTTCATTTAATAATGGAGAAGCTTTATGCACACACAAATGTATGGACTAAACACACATGTCTCTGTAACCCTTGACCTTAAAACTGTGTGACACTGCAGTTGGAAGTCATAAAAGGACTCATTAGATAGTACCATCCTTTCCCTTTACCACCATTACAGACATTTATGATGTTCGCCACATTCCCAACTGCAAGGGTAAGAAGAGCTGTGGCCCTAGGAACTCCTAGGAAAGTGACACTGGAGGATGCCTGATACATGCTCCTGGAGAAAATGATCTATGACTGTCATGGAGCTCCCAAATTACATGTAATCTAAACTCAGAATAACACCTTAGGTGACTAGGTGCTTCCTCATTTTATTCTGCTCTAATTCTCTTCCATCATGAAAAATCAAAATACTCAGACTCTCCTTAGTGTTTTAATGTTATTCGCAGGATTTCTAGAAGAAAATGTGAAAAAAAATATGCTAACTTCTGACAATGCATTTTATTCCACCATTGGCCTCAGAACATTCTGCATGCTGTTTTGAAAGATGTTAATGATCGTATCTATTCAATACGCTCAGGTGCTCCAATGAAATGGTTCTCATTGGTTCAGACACAGTGGATTCCTGAATCTAAAAGACGGACAAAGTAAAAGGAGAAATCAACATTGCGCTATGAAGCACAAGAAAAAAGATTTACCATAGGAAGCTGTGAAAATGGCAACAGAACACCCCATTTTAAAATGCCTGTCCCTATTGCAGCTCTCAGGAATCCAAAACAGATTCCCATAAACTAGAAGGTGGGACAGGTATGAGCTAAGAGGAACCAGAACCATCAACAATTTGACAACATAACAAGAAGAATGACAAGGTAAGTTTTTTATCATAAATCGTTCCAAGTAATGCATTTTTGAGATATGAATAAAAAATGGTTAACATGTACATTCCTAAAAAGTGTTGACTAGGCATGGTAGCACTTGGGAAGCAGAAAGAATAGCTGTAAGTTTGAGATCAGCCTGGGTTACATAAGTGAATTCAAGACCAGCCTGTACTCTGTCTCAAAAAAAAAAAAAAAAAAAAAGAGAGAGAGAGAAAAGAAAAGAAAGAAAGAAATAATTACAACAAAGGATGGATTGCCACTAATCCCTCTCAAAATAGTATCCCTAAATTCTAATATACTTATCTCAACTTTTTGAAGCTGTCCTGGAGTCATCTTTCCTGAATGTTTTTAGTTGTTTTCCTGGCTACCTCAATGTCCTAAATCAATTTAAAACATTCACATTTCAGGGCCATTTTGATTTTGGCGAAGACCCAGAAGTCACTTGGTGTCAGACCCAATGAACAAGGTTGGTGAGGACACACTGCGGTATTTTTGTGAGCCTGCATTGCCACTGGATGTCGCTTAGCAGTGCCGTTCGCTGTAGCTTTGATCACACCTCGTAAAGACAGTCAGGAAAGGAGACGTCCAGAACTGCTTCAGAAAGTAGCAAGAAACATGGGATACGTATGCTTGAAGTGAGAGAGAGCATTTTGAAGGGATTCAAGGCAATGTATCTTTTACTGTAATAATTTAATGTAGGAATTTGTTGCATGGTTTGATTACTTCTTCTATAAAGATTAAAATATGAGAAGTGGAACTAGATACCCACAAAATCTTTCTTCTTGTCTTCCTGTGACTTGTACTCTCTGAGCCTCCCAAAGGTGACAGCAGCCAGAAAAATCTTGGCATTACTACCTACATGTCTGATGGCTTGGGAATTTCTCTATTTTTCCTACAATGACTCTCCTACTCTGACTGCTAGTTGACAAAAACGGGAAAGTTGAAAAATGCAGTCACTGTCAAAGCTTAAGAAAAAAGAGGGAGTTATGACAAGGATAATCCAAGAACTGCCATTACTGTCAAAAACAAGGATAATCTAAGAATTGCAGTTAAGCCAAGGAGTATTAATGCTTGGCTTTGAGAAAGATCATCAAATTTAGGGAGCCTTTTGCTGAACTCCAGCAAATACTGAAATGGGTCTATGCCCTGGAAATATCCACCAGCTCAGCTCTGGGAGGCCAGCCTGAGTTTCAGACTTCTCTTCAGCTGAGACACAAAGTGGTGGTTCACGTGGATGAATGGAATATTGATTGTGTGCGGGAGTCGAGAAACGCCAGGAGGAGGGATTTTTCATATGCATGCAAGCCCAAGATGCCCCCAGTCAGATGGGTAATCCTATCCCCCACGCTCCAGAAGATGCTTACAATAATCATGGGTCACAGTCAAGAGTCCTTTATTCGCATGGCAAACAGCATTTGAAAATGAAGCTCCGTGCAATTAAGGTTTGCTGAGAATTTCTTCTCCTCACATATGGCAATACTTATCTTCAAAGCTCTCCTCTTTGGCTCACGGGCTTCTTTGCAAAGCAGCTGGTCTTGTGTGGCCTAATTGTGAGATGATTTGTTGTGTGATTCCAGTAGCATTGTTTATTTGTACAGTGGTTCGGTGGAATTTATAAACTGCATAATATTGTTCTAGACTGTTTTCTTTTGAGTAAAAAGCCACATTTTCTCCAGCATTCATGACTGGGATTATAATTAGGTGGAGCACTTGAGATATTTTCATCCTGACTTCCTCCTGTTAATTAATGACATTCTGTAAGAAACTCTTGCAAACTAAGTGGAAAGATGTAAGCAGAACATGGAAAGAGAACCAGAGTGACGAATCGAGTTGAAATCAATCTTTGTTTTGCATATGAGAGCTTGTTAACAAATGCTCAAATGTAACTAATACAAGCTGTATGTTATTTCTAATTAGTTCTAGCTGTTCTCTGGAAAATAGAGTCAAATATGGAGAATCTTAAAAGCGATCTTTTGCTATTCTTGGTCCGTCCCTGAGAAACCCCCAGAAAATGGTCCCAATTACTTGTCACAATTTCTTTAATGATGAAATGTCTCCAGTGCTTCCAGGCTTATAAAAAGTTCTAAGAGAATTTGACCTTCCCATTTTGTTTCCTTTATTAAAAAGAAGCTTCATGTGGGTTTTTTTTTTCCAATAAGAATATTTCTAAATAAAGTATGAATGGAATTTTCAAAGTACTTTGGAGATTTCAAAAAAAGTGCAATTTCCAGGATCTGGGATTGGACTAGAATCCTTTATAATGTTCATGCGTGTTGAGGCTGGGAAGAGACCTGAGGAGAAACAGAGAGGTCACAAGGGCACAGCAAGTTACCTCTTGGCCAAACGTTTCCATCACAATCTTTTTTAGAGGATGAATCACCAACCAGGGTCTGGCTGTCAGACTTTTTCAGCCACAAATGGACTTTATCAATAATCTCAAGTGTGGTCAGAGTTGGGGAGATGCATTCCAAACACTCGGGAATATAGAGTGTAACACATGAGTTTACTGGTGTATCACGGGGGCAGTCACCCCCAACATCCTGAATGCTGCCTCGTCATCCAACACACCCTGCTCCGTGTTCTGATGGAAAAGCTCCCCTCTGTGCCACTGGAAGTTGGGTTCCTTATCCTGATTTCCTTGCTTGGCATGGAATTAAAACCAATAGAATAGAAAACTCAGGTGCACTGTGTAAGGCAAGCCAGTATTTAATGAAATTCCCAACCTCCCAGCAACTCAGGTATTTATGGCCTTCACATGTAGCTACTCTGATCATCTAAGATTGAATTTAAATCATTAATTTTTTTTGCTCTGTGCTGCAAGCCTCTTTTGAAGAGGGTTAGGATTGCTCACAGGCACCAAATGAAGGCTGAACTGTCCGCGTCCATCACACGCTTGTTTCGTGTTATTACACCTCTAAGTGCACCCTTCTCACCCATTCACATGAGCTTCCTGGGAAAGCCTGGCCCTCACCCCTAACTACTGTCTTCAAACTTCAGGATTCATTTGTTCCCTGAAGACAGAGCCATTTTTCAGGAACATACTGAGTGTAAGCTAAGCTTGGGGCTCTGGACTGGGTGCATCAAAAGGAGAAAAATGGGAGAAGAGAGAAACTCACCCTCAGGCCCCAGTCGGGAGGTCAGCCACGCACACAGAGTCTACAGAGCGGTACAGTGCAGTGTGTGGCTCGGTGACACACACAGTGGAGCTTGGGGAAGCGAGTTCAACCAAAGAAGTGAGATACTGGAGGAAACAGTACAAATTTCACCTTCTGTGAAGGCAGGATCTCTGAGTCTGCCGCCTTGCTGGTGGGGCATTTGAACCTCTGTGGGTGATGCCTTCCCCCCACCCCCCAGCAGCAGCCTTGACCTCTACCCAACCTGCCAGCAGCACTTCCCCTGACTCTGTGACAACTGCACAGTCTCCAGATGTTGTCACATATCCTCAGGGGCAAAGTCACCCTGGTTGGGGACCACGGGGTTAAGATGGTCAGTTCTCTTGCTGAATTAAAGCAGGTGACACTTAGAGAAAAAGGACTCTGTGCTCACTGCAGCCAGGGCTGGGGCTAAGGGCTCAAAATGCGTGGCTGCAATACAAGCCGGCAAATAGGTCATGTCAGGGGGTGGGTGGGAGAATCTCAGTCCAGGGTGGCCATTCCTGGGTATTCCATAATGCTTCCCTGTAGTTATGACATTCATTTTTTTGTACTTAAACTGATGTCTTTTTGTTTATTTGCTTGTTTATTTTACTATTTGCATTTATAGAACATTATTTTTCTTGGGCAGCTTTTTTTTTTAAAAAAAATCCACTTATTCATAGATCAGAAGAAAAAAACTAGAGCAAAATTTTAACATGCATCATTTAGCAGGTACATACACTGTGCATTGTTAGACTGATGTCTTGAATTTGCTTAAAAATAGTCACTTCATCTTTATTCTCACAAACAGGCTTTTCTTTGAAAATACTCCAAATTAAAGGAGGGAATCCACACACAACTAATTACATTTGAAGCCATCTAGACAATGTCTTAGAACCATTTAAATGTGTCCCCTAGGAACAAATACAGGCTCCTCACCAGAGGAACCAAAGGTCCTAGGCCAGGGAATTCCTCCCTCTCTATATTGCTATTTGGCTTGAGATCACGAGCTCTGCATTGAGTCTGAGATATGTTATTGCAGGGAAGGTCTCACAATAGCAGTCACCATATGCAATATTATCCCAGTCCACTGTGAGTCTCTGTCTGCAGGGCTTTGTCTCCCAGCAGGGTCGTCTTTGAGCAAAACCTTAATCAGCAGCAACCACTGCTGACTTTCCCAGAAAAGACGGAGTCTGCTTGAAGGCAGAAAAGATTGTCTAGGGGAAGCGCTTCACCTTGCTGAGGGTGCTGGGGGGACCCAGGGAAGAGTCCCCAGCCACAGGGTGTCCAGGTGCATGCAGTGACCTCCTCTGCAGGCTTCTGTCTGCCACATTTGTTTTGTAATAATTCTAGCAGGAAGTGAGAAGGCCCAGTGAGTCATACAGAAATGCATCCTTTAAAAACAAAGAAGCCCTGGTTGACCTTTCCAACTTGCTCAGATGCACGCCGCTCTTTTATTTCACTTGTCTTTGGTTCCCCATGCCAGCAGGTACCATCAGGCCCTGCCATTAGATGTTGGTCAGAGGGCGCCTTCGGTCCTGGGAGGAGGGCAGGTAATTCATTGGGGAAAGCAGGATCCAGCTGAACCCTCTCTACCACTTCCTGAGTTATTGTCAGCTCTGTTTCCTTAGCTCTTCGCCTGGCCTCCAGCGCCACGGAGCAGCGGGGCAGAAACAGGGCTGAGGCAGGAAGTCTGGTTGCCAGACTCTGTTAGTGACAGAAGGATGGATGGCACGGATTGGGAGGTATCAAGGGGACACGTGGGCCATAATCAGGCCCTGCTATGCTCACAGACAGAGGAATGATCAGAACCCTTTGTATCAAAAAAAGTCAGAGTGCAAAGCTGCCCTAAAAAAAGCAAGTGCTCGATCTCCGATTTCTGGAGTTGCCTGGGTTAGGCTCCAATTGGAAATGCCACAGGGGAAAATATTCTCCCACAGCTTCGTCTGCCTCCCACTTGCAGATAAAACCATTTCTAAGCAATGGCTCCTTTAAGCTATCGACAAATGTCAAGGATCATTTTTTCAATCCTTACCCTCTATCACATTCACTTCCTTACAAGAAAAGCAAAAGGAGAAGCTGCTGCTCCCGTGATGGCACACTTGAATAGCTCTGGGCCTATTCTTAGATTGATAGAGAAGGAATTTACTCACCACGCCCTCCAGGATTAAGGGGCATTAACCTTTGGAACGAGGTCTTCATATGCACATCAGGGTATTTTTAAGAATGGGAAAACCCAGGATACAGATAAACAACAAGGATTCCAAATAAGTTATTTTTGGATTTGAGATTCCAAAGTATATAAAGCTACAGACACCAAAATGGTTCTCATCTTGGTGGATGTGTCCCTTCTGTGTCCTTCATTCTAGCCTGGTGCATCCATACACACACAGACACACACACACACACACACACACACACACACACACACACGAATGTACACACGTGCGCGCACACAATCACACACACCTTAGATCTCTTCATAAAATCCCACCGACACCATCTCTAGTTTTGATCCTAACCCAAAACCATTAGGAAGAGTGTAATTATAAAACAGATGTCCTCAAATAAAAGGCCACTCTTGATAAGACGTCTTCATAAAACGTCTCTGAAAAGCTCTGGCGTGGGTAGGAGTATTTCCCTAAGCCTTCACTATGGGCTCTTTCGCCAACCAGTCTTGAACTCTTCGGGGTATAATGGGAAAATGCTGTTGCTGTTATCCTTCCCGCTGTTACCACCAGCAACCGGGCTCTGAAAAATGGACAGAGAGTCCATTGAAAAGAACGGAAAAAGTTCCCTTATGCGATATTGCATATAAAGTCTGCAACGGAAAAAAGTCCTAACTCCTGAAAGTTTCACTCATTTGTGCTGACCTAGCACACGCGGTGGACCTTCCATCCGGACGGGCTGGATGACCTGCCTGTTCCCAAGCTGTGAATCAACGCGGTGATAGATCTCTTGCCTCCACTAAGCCAAAACACACGCCAGCCTCCAAGCAGAGTCTGCAGACCATGAGAAAAATAAACAGCCGCGTGGATGTAGCACCCAGAGGGAGTCCCATCTCTTGTTGGTTTCATAAAAAACATCTTGGCATACTTATATTCTAGGTAAAGGCATATCAAATTAATAACTTTTAGAAATTGTAATAAGTTTATATAATACCCGGATTTCTTTTAAAATAATCCAGAAGGAAAGGAGGAGAATGAGGCAAAACACAGGTAACTGCAGAAAAGCTACGTGGGGTTCCATATCATCCTTACTACTAGTGCATATGTTTAAAATTATCCACAATAATGCATTTCAAGGGTTTTTACATAGCCATTCATTTATTTTCAACATTAACTCTGATTTCACTCAGTAAAGTATATTTCCAACTTTAATTCACTCGATAAAAGCATGAGTATCTCAGCTAACGACCTACTTACATTTAGGGCATTACAGAACCTTGGGAACTGGGAGACAGCCCACTAACAGAGATTTCAGACAAAATTACTGCAGAAGGTCCCTAAAGTGGGTGGTGTCGTGTGCCAATGGGCAGTAATAGCAACCACTTCATCAGAGAGTCACTATGAAAAAGAAGTTAAAATATCTCAGAAGGTTCTCACACAATCGGTGGTTAATAAGTAAATGCTAGGTTTATTGTTCATAAAAAAGATTGATCATGAAAGGCCAACGCTTATTTCAAACTCCACTGCCGCCCCCAAGCCAGAACAAATGCTCATTTAGACATGCATTCAAACCACACTGCATGCTTTTAACGGCACTGATTGCAACACAGAATAATATGTGATCAGTGCTTCAAAGGGTCTCAGAGCCTTGTGATAGCCAGTTGTATAAATTAATAAAACCGGTTGGAGAAAAGCCAAAATAAGGAGCTAGGTGAGAATTTCTGGGGTCCTGAGGCAGATACTGGGAGTACAGTCCACAAGGGACTGGTAAGAGGTTAATCAGGCTCTGGGTCAGGGCACCCTACTGACCACCAAGCCTGCTCCACTTCCTCATGGGGAACCCATCCAAGCTCCTGGCCAATCCGCCGCCTCCCCTGACCATATCCTAGGTAACCAACGACAGCCTCCGAAACGGAGCATACACAGTGGAAAGAAACCAGAACAAATAAGCTCTGGCATTTCCACCCATTGCAGGACAGTCCATCTGAATTGTTAATAAACACAGCCAGAACTGCTGGACAGAGCTGCAGAGACTGGGCTGGCCTGGGGGGCTGGAGATGGAGGTCTAATGAGATTGCTGAGTATCAGGCGGGGGGGGGAGGGCTGCAGAGGATCTTGGGCTTTTGGAGGCTGCCCCTTGGAGACTCTGCCTTCTGACAGGGGACGAAGAGGACTGAGAAACTGCACACGAGAGAACCGGCTGGCAGGGAGGCCAGCGTGCACAGAGAGAGGCACTGCTCCAAGTAACCTGCACCTCCCATTTCTATTGGCACTATAAATACCCTTCTAAATGTTACCGTAACTTAAGGAGTCTCTTTTAGGAAGCATTTGGTAGTGACTCACCCCACAGCTATGCAGAAAGCTGAACACCCTGCTGCAGCCCTGGACTCCATGAGGGCTCAGGCCGCAGCTGGGCTGGGGCCGGCCGCAAGCCCATTTGTGGAGCAAGGAGGGACACTTGCACTTGCAGATAAAGTCACCCTTGCTACCATGACTCACAGATGGCTCCTGCCCAGGGGACTTCCTGGAGAGGAGGACAGGACCGGGGGCAGGAACCTGGAAGACAGGCGTCTGCTCTTCAGAAGAGAAGGCAGAGGGTTAAATTCAGTGACTAAAATGTTTCCAGAAGGACCCTCTTCTGATGACAGGCCACAGACAAAAGGGAAAGAAGCCCGGGGCTCACTGCAAGGGGACTTGGAACTACTGAGTCTTATCCCCAAATATCCTAAATGTGCTTTCATCTGGTGTCATTGCGACGGCTGTGGCCAAGCCGCCATCTTGGCCACCTGCCTAGGAAAGCCCCACATACTTCCTCGGGCCCAGGCCTTCAGAGGCAGCAGCGGCTCTGAGAGGCCCAGGTGCAGACAGCACCGGGCCGCTCCTCCACCCCTGCCTTCCAGGGCCTCCCCATCAGGGCTGGCCCTCGCCACACCCTGGGGGCCCGCTGTGGGCATCAGCTGCACGTTGTTGGTTGTTGTTGCATGTGTCAGCTTCTGAATAAGAATTACTTATCATAGATAGTAACATATGCTTACATGAAAGCAGGAAACTCTCTTCCCACCCTGTGCAGGAAGGATGGCCACCCTCTCGGTTTGCCTGTGCTGGGTCACACAGCAAGTTTGTGCACACAGAGGTGACTCCTGTTCCTGTCATTTTAGGCTTCCTCAGGAGACTGATGTGGTCCTGGCGAGTCTGCTTCACCCTGGTTATCATACATTCTTCAACAGAAGAATGGGTATGAAGCAGAAATTATCCCAAGAGAGAAATTATCCTGGAGACTGTGAATTAGCAAACACAGAACACTTAAAAATGTCCAATAGAGTGAGCCAGGCAAAAGGGTTTGGTCTTCTCAAGGCTTAGGTGTTCATATAGGCACTGCTTAGGTCCTGTTTTTCACTTAAAATTAAAATAGGGGTATTTCTTGCAATAACAATCACAATTCTTTGTAGACATGATTCTGTGACATTTCTGTTTTCAAAAAAACTAGTGAATATTGTTACAGAAATTGAGAAGACCCAGGAAAGCACAGAAAGGAGAACAGCAATGCTGACAAAACTTTTCGCCTTCAGATAACAATGCTTAAAATTTTCATGTCTCCGAATTTCTATACATAAAAATTTTGGCAAAATTTGATCCAGTGATTGTGAATACTTAACATTCATTGAAAAATCTTCCGTAACATTTATTAACTGTTACTCTGCAGCATTCAGGGGTTGACAAAGCCTGAAGTTTATGTGCAGTCACCATCAGTGTAGAGTTTGATGGATTTTGGTGTATTTATTTTGTTGTAGAAGTATCATCAAAACTAAAGTACTTTCATCCCTCTACTGCAAAATGATTTTATCCCTATGACCCTCTGTGGTTTCACTGTGCGGTGTGTCCCATGCATGCGATTCATTCAAATAATTCCATTTTGCTGAGCCTGTAGATTACTGTCACAGTCTGTAATTAATTATATGTAACAATGTAATGACTCTCCGTTCTTGGGACAACTTTGATTATTTCATTAGGATGATTTCCCACAGCAGCATTGCTGGATGTGTGTACATGTCTGTAAGATCAGGGATATGTAGATAGGTGTACCAGTTCCCCAAGATGGGTGTTATTATTATGTATCTCAGGCACACACCAATTCAAGAGAATCTAGGTTTACATGGTCAAAATTGTTTTTAGCAGTTAAGCAGTTCTGTGGGTTCATCTCCCGTGCAGAAAGCCTCTCCTGCCAGCATCTTCAACAGAACTCAGTGTGAACGCCTGCCTCCACGGCTCAGTAGTGGAGTCAGAGGCTTCCCAGTTCTGAGTGACCCAGGCCAGCGGCCCCCTGTCCCGTGTGGCTCCTGAGGGCAGGTGGGGTGTCTGGTCTGAATGGAAACATGCCAGACTCTGAAGACAGGACGAGGGGAGAAAAGAAAGGCAAACCATCCTTGTCCCGGCCTGTGGGTGAGTCCACGGAGACCCTAGAGGGGGAGTGGGGATGAAAAGGAAACAAGAGATGCAAAGAACGGAGACAAGATGAAGTCCATTCGATCAAATCTCGTTTATTCAAGGAATGAGTATCAAAATATAGGGTATTGGGGAGGCGGGATTTGGGTTCTGAGACATCAGCAGGTAACTTAGCAACAGTGGCAAGACTGAGGGTCATAGGTTAATTCAAATTTCCCGGGCTTGGGCTCATAAGGTAGGCTGATTAGCATAATCCCTGAATAGGCCAGGCCAAACAAGCTAGGTAGGCAAGGTGGTGCTTAACTACCCAACTTAACTCCTAGAGGGAGTTAAGGTGGTACGGCCTGCAGATATAAGGTGGCGGCCAATTACAGGGCTTCCCACACATCCTAATAAAAGTGTCCTACCAATGGGTTTCAAATGGTAGTATTTTGGAGATAGTGATACCTTCTGTTTCGTTCAGCTGCTCAGCACAGATGCTGGAGTATCGCAGCTCTGCAGTAGTTTGATTCTACTAATGGCATCACCTGCCCTGGAGACTGAGTGTGGGAACTGGGGTCCCTGCACCTGCTGAGTGGTGGTGACAAAGCAGATGCCAGAGTGAACTAGGTCTCACAGAGTCACATCCAGGACTCCCCTGACTACACCACTTGAACAAGCTCCTCTAAGTTCCAGCACTTTCTTTCTAAAAGTGCTGCTATGCATTGAGATGTTGGTTGTTGTTATGGTTTGAAAACTGGTGGTCAACTTAACGCCAGCTGGATTACATCAGCATGCAGTGAGAGAAGATGCTCCACCTGAGGAGGGTTACCAGGATAAATAGGTGGAGAAGAAGGGAGGTGGAGAGAGAGGGTTGAGGCATTAAGGAGGCATTGTGGGTTCTCCTACGGGTTGCTGTCTGAGCTGTTGGTTCTCCTGGAGAAGCCTTGGTCCTCACATTGAGTATTGCTTCCTGGCTCCTGGCTCCGGAGGGAAGACATGTGCTGCCTGGTCTCCAGGATGAACTCGTCACGTTGCTTCCTGGCACGTACCCAACTGTGCTTCTCATCGCAAGAGCTCGGGGCCTCCGTGTCGCTGAGGACAGCTGTGGTACCTTCAAGGACAGCCCACTCTTTGTTGTGAGTGTTACTTCTCAGCTCCAGTGTAGAACCCTCATCCCACTAGCACAGCTCCTTCATCCTGTTGGCATGGACTTTCTGGCTTCCACCACTGACCCTTGGGTCTTCCCGGCATGGATCCATAAGAGAGACTGGTGTGAGTCCTTCTTGTGGGCTCTGGACCTCCAGTTGGGCTCGTGGGAGGCATGTTCTGAGTTCTGAGTTCTGGGTTTTTATCTGGACTCGTGGGACATTGCCGTAGGGTTTAGGCTCTTGACTAAATAATCTGTGTCTTTGGTGTTGCGCATAGATTTCCTGCATTTTCTTGTGTTAACTTCCGGTGACCATTATAAAAACATTATGAACTCCATGTCCTAATCCTAGTTGTTCTCTGTGTACAACCCCTGACTACAACAGTTGTTCATTCTGGCTTCTTCGTAGACTAGTGCGTGACTCCCAGAAACCCGCTAAAGGAATCCGATGTTGCCTTTCTACACGGAGAAGGTGAGACGGGGTTCATGGCCTTAGAATCGCTATTCATCGTCTATGTAGTGCAGGGAAAGAGGTATTAAACTGCTGGATCAGGAACCAGATACAATCAAAAAGGGTACAAATAAATAGCAACACTAGTGGCATTTAGAGATGGTGAAAATTCAAACACGCACCACGCTTGCTTCCACGTTCATTTGTGTTCATTTTTGCTTTATCTTATTACCCATGCCTTTCTTAAATCCAGAAAAAGATGAATGACAGAAAAAAAGAGAACAGAATAGGGGTTAAACGGCAGAAAGCAGAGGAGAGGAGGAAAAGACAATTCCACCTAGCAGCTTACTAAGACTGCTGTGAGAGACCAGAAATCTTGGCTCTGCACGCAGGGGCAGCCAAGGTAAAATTAGATCATCTATGCATTACACGCTCAGCGTCTTACCAGACAAGGCTACATGTTGCATACAGAAAGAGTTTTGTTTTATTTAGCAGTTGACCATAAGAGGAATTATTACAGGGTTCTTTGTGTGAAGAACATAGTAGAGGTTATATTTTAAACCTTTACATAAAGCACAGATGTTCTCTGGCAACCATTTCTCACCTTTCCTCCATGCCGTCTAAGTATGGAATCACTTGCTCTTCAAATTGAGTAATATTTCTAGGAAACAAACTTAAATCACTTCACCTATAGCAGATTGTCCTTGATTTAGTAACTTCTCATCCCTTTATCATAAGTTTGTATGTCTAATGTATTTTATTTCACTACTGTGTATAATGCCCATTTATACTGTTTTGATAGAGTACATAACAAAATATGAATTTTAAAAATAGTGCCAACATAGTATATTGAGTATAGCATTAGAAACAATGTAGTTTTCTACAAAGATTGAAAGATTTTAGTTTGGGAGTAGAGGCACAGGCTTCTAATTCCAGCATTCCAGAGGCTGAGGCAGGAGGATCTCTGCAAGTTCAAGATCAGCCTAAGTACGTAGTGAGTCCAAGGCCAGTCTGAACTATATAGTGAGACCCTGTTTTAAAAATAAAAATGAAACAACAATAACCAAAAATAAAACAGAAAAATTTCATAGGAAAGCCAAAGATTATACTTTCATGAGACATATTTGAGAGTAATTTAAAACTTCTTATAAGGTGTTAATGAACCAAAATTGACACCAATTATAAATAGTTCTTCGGTCTTATTTATATCATTTTTTGTTAATCTTCTAGTCTGTAACTTTCCTGTAGAATCGCCACACTCTGAATGCTTGAAAACACTAACATTGTTGTGATTCTAATGCTACCTGTCTTAGTTACTTTTTACTCGTTGCTGAGACAAAATACCGGAAGCCCAAGTTGGGAAAGAAAAGATTTATTTCTTAGTTTTTGGAGGTTTCAGTCCACACTCAGTTGGCTCCAAGGCAGGTGGGCATGGCTGAGCCGCAGTTCATGGCGGCTGCGAACAGCAAGCAGGAACCAGCAAAGAGCAAGACACACCTTCTTCCTGCCATTACATCACATCCTGGCTCCACCCCTATGTGGGTGGAGCACTGACACCATCAATCCAAGCATTAGACAATGAACCATCACAAATGCACAGTGCAACCTCATGAGGCCTGGCGGACACAGACATAAACTGTGACACTACCCATATCCAGACTTGCCATTAATTCACATCAAAGTTCAACTCACACATTTCTACAACCAAAGCTATGGGATTCTGAAGGGATATATAAGGTCAGGATCAGAGTCAGGTCCCTAGAAGTATGTAACTTTCCAACATCATTATGGACGGAATAAATTTCCTTCTTAAAATAATGGCTGACATTGCCAGAGGCTACAGAGATACCAAGGTAGCCTCCTTCTGTGTGAGGGACCCTGGGGACAGATAGCAGCTCTCCTAGATAGGAAGTCACAGCTCCGCTAGTCAGTTTGCCTTACCACCCTACATAATTTGCACACCTAAGTGGTGATCAGATGTCGTGGAGATGACAGCAAAGATTATTTTCGTGCCACCCTACACTGAAATCCCATGGTGTGAACATTGTTTTTAGGCTCAATGACTAACACCACTGCAGCTCACCTGAAGGTTCAAACTCATCTGTTCTCCAGGAATGGCCCCTGACTTTTTGGAGGTTCAGCCTCAGCTGGCCATGTCCAAGGGCTGTCTCACATCATGAGCCACTTTCGGACACACCATGTCACATCCAGCACACCACAGCTTCCCACCAGGACTTTCAAGTGCAGACCAGAGAAACAGCTGATGCGGTAGAGGAAGACAGCAAGACAAGCTGAGAGAGAAGTCTTTACTTGAAGGCCCCCATGCATGCTGGACTCCATTTGGTTCCCTTCACTGGTAAAGTTTTCCTCTGTGGGTTTTCTTTCTGGTCTACTGAGGACTTGACCAATAGCCCGTGGAATGTGTCAGCTCTAATTGCCTGTGTGGATTGGCACAAGTCATGCCTTAAAATTGGAATGTTGTCACGTGAAATATAGCCTTTCAAAGGGATAAACGAAGCCTGGAAAATGTCTTATCCGAGCATTCCTTAAAAGCAACTGCATTCTGCCATGCTATGGGGCAGATGACCTTTATAGAACCAGCTCAGCAAATTCCCTTGATGCCCAAGATTCAACAGGTACCAGGACCCTTGCTCCTCCCCCAGTCCTAAAAAAGCAGGTTGGCTTCTCCCTCCAGCAATATCAGACAATGGCCAGAGGCCCTTTGGGTGCTTGCACACAGCTGTAGCCAAGGAAACTTTCCAAATGAAGTAGATAATTGGTGAGTTGTGAAGAAGATGAGGGATGTGAGAGCCCGGGCTCACTTGGGCATGTGCCCCCTAATGGGTGAGTGATTTCCACAGGTGTTGCCTAGTGGCCAGGTAATAGCAGTCAAGCAAGCCTCCTTAGACCAAGCTTGGAGAATGCTTGAGGCGCTTATTAGCAGATTTGCCCATGAGAAAGATGCCATACAGCATGGGTATGATTGGCTGAGGAGAAGAGAAGACCCTGCCACCAGCTGGACGCCTGTCACGCGAGGCACCACAGGCTGATATTTCACGCATTTTCACCTGGCCACTTATGTTTTTCTCCAGGGTCTGTTTCCTTTAGAAATAAACCAATTAAGCAATAAATACAAGGGCATGCAGAAAATTAGCTCTTTGCTTATTCTCCCTCCCTTGAGCATGAGGCAGACAAGTGCTCAGAATGGTGAATATAAATTTGACCTGGACAGTACAGCACAGTGGGGGAAACATTCATTTCAGACAGCATAACCTCAGACAATCCCCTTCCCTTAAACACTTCTCACTGAAGACGTGCCTATCATGTTTTTGGCCTATCAACATGCCAAAGGAGTTGAATGCATTTTTAAAATAGTTTGTGCAACTTAAGACTAATGAACTAGTTGGCTAAATTTTGGAGGAAAAATAGCCGAATTAAATTTCTCTCTTTCCCATGAGATTGAATCAATGAGGGACAAAGGCAGCGCCAGATCTCTCTATCATTTGGGGACAGACAATTGAGAGCTGCCCCTAGGGAAGACTCTTGAACCGAAACTTTCAAGAAAGATCCCATAGAAAAAGTCAGCCCATAGGAAATGTCTAGTTGAGCTGATAAGTGGCAGACTATCCCACTTACCAAACTTCCATTACAACCCTCGTTCAGGCACATCACGTGAAGGAATAATTATTTTTGTCCAAGGGTACATCTCTTTGGGAAAATGACCATCTGTGATCTTCTAAAAATCTCAAGATTGATTTGCGACATTTTCCCTAGAGATCCCACCATGCCCTCACCATGCCATGAGACAAGGACACAGATGATTCCTTTTTTAGAGATGGGTAAAGTTGCTTTTGGAGAGCGACACAGATACAAAGGCATCTCCTTCCAGGGAGGGGAGCCAAGATGCTTTGGATTCCTGGAGAAGCCAGTGTGAGACTCTTACCAAGTGACCTTATAGATACTCAGCTCTGATTGATACTCTTTCAAGTATTTGCAGTCACTCAGGATCTGTCTCTCATTGAGATGGTCCCATTTTTGTGACCATTTACTTATAAATTCCTACTTTAGTTAAACCATAGTTGACAAATGCTGGCATTGGATTGGATTGGATTTACCTGGAAGAGATGTTCTGCTGTTATTATAAAATCCAAACACAAAATCCATGCAAAGTTTAGCTGATCAAATGCTTTCTTCTGGAACTTTCCACCCTGAGTGAGGGCAGCAGAGGCAGCAGGAAGGCTCAGTGACCGTTGTCCCAGGGGAGCCCCAGTGGTGTGGCCTGGATGTTCATGTCTCTCCCAGCTCATTTGCAGAAATGCCAAACCCCAAGGCGATGTGTTAGGAAGTGAGACCTTCGGGAGGGGATTAGGTCAGGAATGGGATCAGTGCCCTCAAGGAAGACTTGTAACTTCTGCATCGTGGAATGCAGCGCAGAGCCGGCCATCGTGAACAGAAAGTGGAACCTGCCTCACACTGAAGCTGCTCATGCCTTTGTCTTTGACTTCCGAGCCTTCAGAACTGAGAAATAAATTTCTGTTGCTTATAAATTTATAAACTGCTCAGCTTAAGGCCGTTAAGGTTGTTATAGGAGCCGGAATGGACTAAGACACATGGCTTTTCCTGCAATAATCAACGGCATTCCTACTTTCCTGCCCCAGAGCTTCCTGCTACGCCCTAATTCTGCTCTCCCTAAACCCCATTCCTTCCATCACCCTCATGAGAAATAACCAATAGCTAACCTTTTGATCTGCAGAAACATTTTCCTGTGATTCCACGTACTTATTTAGCCCAGTGATTTTTTTCTTAGTTGTTACTAAGTTAGCTGACACATCCAGTGCATCCCATACATCAACTCTGAGCTCATGAGGATAATCCTGGTGTCTGTTTTCCCAGCACATTGTATCTGAATTCTCAGTATCTGTAAAGTACCCATCCTAACACAGGCGCAGTCAACACTTTACTTCCAGGTGATATTTTAATACGTTTATATATTAGCCTCTTTCAGGAGGCTGTGAGGTTCTTGTGGACAGAGCCTGGATTTTCTTTTCTCTAACATCATTTCTGATAATATAAGAAGCTACCAAATGACTAAATTCACTTCAAGGGGACCATCAGAGTCATCTCCTTAAAGTTTCTTATCAGCACGGGCCCATAGTTTATTAATAACAGTCATACAACTAACTTAATTTTTTCAAAGATAAAGCTAATGATTATTTCAGTTATCATTGTCTTATGAGCAATCACCCCACAAAGAGCTTAAAACAGTAGTAACTGTTAGGATTGTTACCTTCAGTGGTCCTGAGGCTGACTAAACTCAACTGAGTAACTCTTAGCATTCTTTAAGCGGTGAGAGGAGTCTGATGGCTGGGACTGGAGCCATCAGAACCCCTCCTCATCGATTCATCCAGTGGGGTGGTTGGAGCCGATGGTCATCTGGGATCTCAGCGGGGGGCCTTGGCCGGAACACTCAGGCTCAGTTTATTCATGTGGCTTGGGCTTCTCTTCAGCATAGCAGTTGATTTTCAAGAATGAGCATCCCCTGAGAACCAGGAAAACTGTATCATCTCTTCTACCCTAACCTTAGATATCCCTTCTGCGATGGTGTCATGCCCAGCCAGCTCCAAGGAGACAAGGCGGTCTATCCAAACTGGGGCAGCACGACTTTGTGATGCAGGATGGACATATGGGGTGGCTGCATCACCGTATCTGTCTTCCAGTAGCTTTCCTGTGACTACTTGCCTCAAACAATCCCTTCTGAAGAGACCTCCAATGTTCCGCCATTGGCCTGAAGGTCAGGACTTGTGTCCCATACGTTAGATGCAGGTGTAGATGGTACCCAGTGGGAATTTCTCTGGCAGAGTCCCTTGGCTACTCATTCTGAACTGAAGATCAGTGAGTGAAGTTGTCACCCACCCATCCCAGGTCCAATCTCAGACAGGGAAAATACTGTAAATATGTTTTCCTTTTGAAAAACAGATAAAAAGTTTCACAGGTAACTAAAACAAGGGCGATTAGAGGCTACTGGATTAGAGTTTAAGGAGAAGGGGACTAAGGTTTTACCACTTTCATAAAGTCTGAGGAGCTTCTATTTCCTGAATTTCTCAAGATATTGCTCAGCAAGTATTTGTTAAAAGAATGAATGAACTAAGAGATGCTCCTGCTCACTGAGTAAAACCATGTAGTGGGTGCTGGGAACATGCGCTCAGTGGAGTCATCTGGAATAGAAAATGCTCTCTGTTCTGGGGGAGGAGGACGTGAGGCCCCACACCCACAACCAGGAGGCAGAGAAGAAACACAGCCACTCTTCCCGTTGCCTCATTCATGTGGCCAGCAACGGGGCCTTCGCAGCCTCCTCCCCAAAGACAGTGGCAGCACAGCGGAGCTGCTCGCCAATCTTCTGCCAGAAGTGAAGCCTGGTTGGTGAGTTTCTCCTGTCTTCCCTATATGCCGGTTTAGTGGCTACCAGAATCCGGATTAAGGTGTGGGCACCTCAGCTGGGCTCAGCGTGTCTCACCCGTTCCTCAGGGTCCCTTTCACCCTCTCACTTGCATCCTGCCCTCGGCTCATTGCTGGTCTTCCTACTTAGAATCTTTGGGTTGGATCGAAGGCTTATGGTTACACCCAGGAGGGTTTTTGATGTACAGGCATGCATACTTAGGATACGTTTATGATTCTATGCATGTTTGTATGTAAATTTTTATATCTCCTTGGGTAACACCCCTGCAGGGGTACTGATTGGCAGGACGTGTAATGGGGGACACTATTCAGAAGGTTGCTGGCCTCCTAAGGGCTTCTCTGCACGCTATGACCAGCTTCTCCACGGGCAGAGCACAGAGTTGGTGATGTGGAATTCAATACTTCCTTAAATGAACCAACACCATGAGATTTAAAGTCCAGTTCAGTTTAATTTTGTCTCCAATGAAGAAATTACTGTTACACCCATACTTGAGGGCCGGCCAAACTGTATGACTTCACACAGCCTTTGGAACAGTATTGAGTTACCTAACCTCTTAGTGTGCCTGCTCGCTGCTCCCTGAGGTGTGGGGCTACTATAGGATCCAGCACGGAGAACTGGGCCGGGCACCAGGTTTCGTCTCTAGAGCCAGCAGGACTTTGGTGCTGTCACCTGAGTCACGAATCTGTGCGCTTGCACATGGGCCGGCATTGGCAGGAGAGAAAACCCTTCACTAGGGGAGAACCTGAGATGTTACACTGGGCCACTTTCTTTCCTGCTATTTTTTTACTTTTCTGTTTAATTATGTCTGTCTTGTTAGGCTGAACGATTTTCATCGTTTTGATCACCCAGCACAAAGTACATTCTGTTCCTTTTTACTAAGTCTATGTCCAATTACAGGAACACATTCAACTCTTCTCCAAATAGCCATTACTGGGTGAAATAAAGAAAGCAGCTACAAAGTATTTCAGGGAACTAAAGACTCAATCAGGAAGAAAAACTCTAAAGCAATCATTTCATTTTCTAAACAGATAATTACGAGTTTTCCTTGGCAATTTCAGACATATCGATACTATGACCTAATATGTGTACCAATGATTGCTCCAGTCTCATAGGATCTAGTTATTATGTACAAAAATTGGGTAACAATATTTTCTCATTTGCCTCTGACTTGAAATGCTAATAAATCTGGGGTCTTTATTTCGTTTTGTTCAGTACATAGGATCTATTCCCGAGATAAGGGAAGGGCCAGAGAATAGAGCAACCAGTTTGGTAGAGGAGTGAACAAGAGCTAGGGTCTACTGCTTGCTAAAATTGCAAGGTTCCAATATTTAATAGAAACAAGATTTTGTTAGCTTGAGCCCAGAGACAGATTTGCTGGAGGTTTTTAAAATTTACATGCCTTGACTTTTCATTCTGTGGGCCTTTTCTGAACTTCTAAATATAATTTTGTATTTTTGCATGTTTTCAAAGTATCTCCTCCATTTTTTTTTTTTTTAATTTTTAGAAATAAACACTTTGGATCTCCCCTCCAGAGAGATTAACAAGGGGAGTACAACACCGATTTTTTTCAGATAGAATATTGATGTCTTCTCCAGACAATGACCCAAGTGAGCTTTCTCTGTGCTGGAGACACAGGACACGGTACTCCGCCTTGCTGAGGAGGGTCACAGCAGTTTAGCCTGCCCAGGACCAGGCTGCCCTGTCCCACGGAGCAGCCTTGCTTGTAGGAAACCAGCTGCGCTGTTAGGAGCTCTGTCGGGAGACTCATCCCTCTGCCACTTTTATGCTCCTGCACTCAGCTTCGAGGTTTGACCCTGGAGAACCTCTAAGCTGCACCAGTATACGCCAAAAACAAAACCCCCAGCATTTTTGTGGCTTCATATTGTTCAGTCCTATGTTAACTATAAAAAAGGCTGGCAATAGAGCTTACGAGAATAACTCAGCCTTTAATTCTAAACAGGGCTGCTTTTCCATTCCACTCCACAGCTAACAGAAGCAAAATTCAAGGTACAAATGTGAGCCTATTTACTTTTTTAGAAAAAAGAAACAAGCTATATTATGTATATGTACCGACTCCCCAAGATAATTATAAAAAGTATCTATGGCAAACATGTACCAAAGGGAAAAAAAAATTTTTAAGTGAACCATGTATATAATTTAAAATTTTCTATTAGCCATATGAAATAGATGAAATTCATCTTAATAATGTATTTCATTTAATCCCATTATGTATAATGCTATATCAAAATAGTATTATTTAGATATGTAATTAGCACACAGTAACCTACTAACGAGGCATCCTGCAGTTAAATAGTTTTTTTGTACAAAATGTGTGTGTTTATGCATCTAGCACACCCCACTTCAGACCTTAAATGTCCTGCAGCCTTGAATGTCACGATGTTAGACAGTGAAGTTCTAGACCTCTACTTACCACTTGCATGGCCTTGAACAAGTAATTTAACCACTCTGAGTCTCCTTATATCCATGTCAAATGGAGACACATAAAAAAAAAAAAAAAAAAAAAAAAAAAACAAAAAAAAAAACCTGCATCCCAGGGCTCAAGGTGAGCCTGATCAACAGTGGAGTTCAGTGCCACTTTGCTTCTTTTGATTTTTTTGCCAGAGGATTTAACCAAAGCTTCTGTTTTCAGCAATTTTATGTCTCTTTCTATAGCCAGAAGGTTAACATACAGTTTTGGAATATTCACAGGAATTGCGCGTGGCTTGATTGACTTACAGGATCTGGAGATTTCTCACATTTAATATTAAGACAGAGAAGCGTACCTTGAGGTCACAGCTGGAAACAAAAAGCTTACTGCGGCAGAGTTGCTGAGAAGCCAAAACTAGAACGCGCTGGGAAGCACCGTGGAAGCACTGAGGATCCTCCAGAGAGATGGGAACCAAGGTTAGAGCTTTTCATACACATGCTCACTCACTGAAAGGCAAGACGGGCACAAAGACAAAAGGAAAACTCTGCAAGGCCGGTGGTGTCCCCGTCCTCATTTAAAGAAAGGGTGAGGCCACAGGACGCTGGTGTCTATGTGCTTATAGCATCCCTGAGGCCCTGGGTTCCACCCCAGCACCAACCATAACAGCCCCAAAGAAAGATAAGGGAACAGAGTGGCTGCAAGGCTTCCCCAAGCCGATAGAGCCCGGAGGGCTCCCCTTCGCTGCTTCTCGGGTTTCCTCAAATTTGTAAGCATAAGGTAAACCTGTGTGAGCGGCAGAGTGGCTCTGGTACGATCTGCTCTCTGTGGAGCAGGAACTCAGTGCAGAGTGGTTTGCTTCCTCTCTGGGAGGTGTGTATGAAAAGTCAAAGACACACAAGACTGTAGACACAGGAATCATTTTCTGCCCTGCCCTGGCAATCAAATCAACATTTGTGTCTACGTGGTGTTCAGACAATTTGACAAACACAAACCAGTTCTTTCAAACACCAGAGTTAAAAGTGCTTTCCTTTTTATTAGGTTCTGTTTATTAAGATCCTGACAATTCACTTGAGAAGTCTTGATGGTAATAGCTAAGGCTGTTGCAAAGAACGGTGTGTGTATGCGTGTGTGTGTGTGTGTGTGTGTGTGTGTGTGCACATGTGGGCAGTGGTGTTGGTGAAATCCCAAACAAGCATCCCCCAAAGCATGTGGCTGTTGTTATATCTGGCTGGCTCCACCACCCTCGAAGTTCTGGGGCTACAGGGGATACTGTCTAGACCAGTTCTTTTGGCCCTGGGGTTGGCAGAACATAGAACCAGAAAGCCAAATCATAGTGCAAATACCTCCCTGAATTTTTTCTGGTAAACGGTCGAGCTGGATGGAAACTAAATTGCAAATGATTACCAAATGCAATATGCAGGAGAATAAATAGATTGCCCAGGGCTTTCTTCAGTCCTGGACAGATAAGTCCTGGTTCTTGACCCACAGGGTGACATTATGGGGACAAGATGCTTACGAAGAAAGCACAGGGGTGCCTGTGCTTCCCGATCTTGCAGCTGGGGAACCTTCTCAATGCATCCTTGACATTCCCCAGACTCAGAGATGGCATCAGAAGAGGACACAAACAACAACATAGGATTGAAATAATTTATTTACCACTAGAGCACCACAAGAACAGACATACATCGTGTGTTAAAATACAGCATAATTGGTCGTCAAAGTACAAAACAGCTAATCTTCTATTCCAATGTTTTACCATGCCAACCCCCGAACTGTACTGCTGCTTAACACATACACTGCTGCCCTCCGGGCTTCTCTCTCCTCCCTTCCCGCCCTCCGCCGCCCCTCCCATGGCAACACATAGTGATGGAAAATAAAGACCTCGTAGGACCCCCCCCCCAATTAACAACAAAAAGATTCAGGAGATCTTAAAATAGAGCATTTAAAATATTATCAGTGCATTCACAAGGAAAGACAAAATAATACAAACCAAAATGTCATCTTTATCTGAAAGGAAAATACCTGCAGAAATAAAAATGATTTACACAGAATTAACAGAAGAGTGGAAGAGGAAAAACTCAACACACACTCAAACCTGGGATCGGGTTACCCCAACATAATAGCTGATCACTACTGTGGCATCCTCTCTGGAGCTTGCTCTTCCAGTTTTCAGACCTGCAAATCAATTCTTCATTTTAATTACAACAGGAAATGTCAACAAGGCAATACACCATTCCTCACGCCCGCTGCCCTTAGGTGAAACTGTAACTATCCATTGATTTGCCTATAAATTTTTACCTGAAAGCTAAATAAATGACAAACATACCTACAAACTCAGACGTGAGGTACCTCCTCTGAAATGATGTGACAAATCATTTGTGTAAGCCAAGTAAACTCAAGCCCAATTACAGATAACTCTCACTCGGAGGAAAAAGGATATTTTAATCGTATGAGAATTTGGCTTGTGCCTTTTTGACCTTCCAAGAACATCTATCAAAAACCTTAATCTTGCTGGGCGTGGTGGCCCACACTGTAATCCCAGCACTCAGGAGGCTGAGGCAAGAGGATCGCTGTGAGTTGGAGGCCAGCCAGAGCTACAAGTGAGTTCAAGGCCAGCCTGAACTTCATAGTGAAACCCTGTCTCAAAGAAAGACAAAAAAAAAAAAAAAAAAAAAAAAAAAAAAAAAATCCTTAACTTCAGTGAAGTAAGAGAAACTACTACTGGTAACCTGGATTTTTTTCCATCCTTTACAAAAAGTAACTACAATGTGCATCTTTCCGTTTCCCCCTGAACACGAAAAAACTGACTATAGCAAAAGAATTTCCTCAACTGCTTGCTTTTTAGTAACAATAAAATTCTGTGAAGATACTAACTAAACCATGTTAGCTCAGTCACCAGGATTCTGACTTCAGATTCTTAGATTCTTGTAAAAATTAAAACGTTTCTCCTTAATGATCTGTTTCCATATTTCCCATTTTCCTAACATCTGACTTGATTTTTAACATCTGATTTGATTAGTAATGATGATCAGAAGATGAAAGAAGACCACTAAATTCAAATGTATTCTTTTTGTAAAAGAAAAAAAAAAAAAGACAAACCCAGGGAGCTCATGTTTTAGAAATGGACAATACAGAAAGCAAGAGAGAGCAAATCTTATTTAAAAAATACCTTTGTAGTACAAGGCAAAACCTAGGGGCTTTCCTCAAAATACTGGCCAGCTAAAGGAAACACAATTAATTGTGAGTGATCATTAAAAAGAGTTCAAATTTAAGTCCCATCTAAATCGTGGCTGACGTTATTACAGAATATTAAAAATATGGTCAGAATTTACACATCAGATATGAAGTAGTTACCGTTGTGACTTAATAGTTCACAAAGATCTGCAGATGTGTTTTCAATTACGCTGGCTTCTATACCCATCTATTTTAATAATACAGGTAGGGTTACATACGCCGAAACAAAGGAGAAGCCTGTAGTGTTAGGTACACAGCAATACTTGCAGGTTCGAAGTCTGACCAGTATGTGTCAAAACATTTCCACATTTCACTAGTTTACTAAACTGACAAAGAACCATATACAATCCAAAGGAAAAAAATCTTACAGACTTATTCTGGCTGAAAACTTCTTTTATTATCAGGCTTTTTAGTGTCTGAACCCTGCTCACGTGTTCCTCAGGGGGTCGGTACGTGGCATGTGCTTCCAGGTCTTTGTCTCAGAGCAGACTTGCTGGGTCATAGAATAACTCACGTTTTCTTTTTTTCTTTCCTTTTTTTCCCCATTAATGACTTCTTTTTTTTCTGGCTCGTTTGAGTTCAAGTTTCCTTAAGCCATCCTGGAGTTCCTGGCAAAGGATTTGGTCTCCGCTTGATACACCTGTTCGATTTTCCAAGGGCAATGAAACGTTCCTTATGTAGTAACACACAATAAATAACTGGCTGGGAAGCCCAGGAGGGGGTGGCCTCGGTGCCCAGCGCACGGCCAGACAGAAGGCAGGACCGGGATTCTCCTGGTTCTCATTTTTTTCTTTCACATAATTAACACTAACAAATTCTTCCAGTGTTTATTTTTTTCTTTAAAGAAAAGGCTTGCTTCTTGTCTCTCTCTTACAAAGGAGGTGAAATGTAGAATGAGGCCTTCTACCTGGTTTGTTTTTTGTTTCAGATGCCACTTTTCACACACAGAACACACACTTCCCAAGGGTCTGAACTAGTACCGCTTTTCCGGAAACGCTAACACTGCTGCGCCAAGGCTTGCCTAGGTTTTCTCGTTACGTGCATCATCGTTGTCGTGGTGGTGGTGGTGGTGGTTTTGGGATTCTCGCCTGGCTGCCCGCCCAGGACCCTTAGCTGCACTTGCAGGACTTGACAATCATGTTGGAGAGCTGCTCGATCTTGGGCGTTTTGCCAATGTAGTACAGGATGGTGAGCGGTTCCAAGTCCTGGGACACGCAGCACGGAGACGCAGAGGCCTCCGGGTTTATAGTGTTGTACAAGCTGAGGACCTGGGATGCGGGAGAGGACGGGCGGGCAGCATGGGGAATGAGGAGCAAGAAACAAAGAACAAAAGAAACACGGAACAATTAGTTTCAAAGAACCACTTCACGCTGTTACCAGTCAAAGCACACCGTAGGCAGCCTGAAATATTTTTCGTTGGGGATCATATTTTCTGGACCCTAAATTATAATCAGATTGGGACTAGGATGTGTCCACAGCCATTAGCAGAGTCAACTTTTCCCACGAAATGCATTTTCTGTACAGCATCAGCAAATGAACTTATCAGATGCAAACTGGACGGAAGTGTCCCTTCAGCAGATTTTCCTAACTTTTCCAGGAGGTCGGCTCTGGCCACCACGTGGAGGCCCACACTTCCCAGGCATCTTAGCATCTGGTCTTCCTGCTACACTACTCTGCAGGTGAAGCTGTCCTGTGAATATTTTTCAGAATTCCTAAATGGATTAAGAGTTCACTCATAGTCTTTATACCTCACAGCCAGAGCAGTTCCCTGTGTAAAATAACACACAAGTGCTTGCTGAACAATCGAACGCATGGCTAAACAGAAGAATCGAATGCTGTGGTCAGGTCCTCATTGTAACTTGTGTGTGGTTTTTTTTCTTTTTTTTTGGTACTAGCAATCTTGCTCTTGCCGGGCAGGCACTTGGGCTGCTGAGCTAAATCCCCAGCCACCTATGCTTAGGTACAGACAGACTAGGTGGTCTGCTGGGTCAACATTTTTGTGTTAAGTGTCTTCTCAGGCATATTCAATGTTACCTAAACTTTCACTTAAAAAAAAAAAAAGCTTTCTCATTTATGATTGCTTCCTAACAATGACAGGGCTCAGAACAATGTGGAAAGCAGTCTGTACTCTTCATTACTCACTTTCACACATTTCGCTTACAAAAGCTATGAGGAGCAGCAGGCGTCCTTTACCCTTCCCTCTAGTGAACAGGACTCGCTAACTTGGGGCCTGGGGAGAGAGCCCTGGAACAGAGCGCAGTGAGCCTCGCCCTCACCCCGTTTGGTACCAAAGCGGTGGGAGAGGTTCACTGAGGCAAGCGGGTGGGTGCCCCGCAGTGACACACGGATTTCCAAGGGTGCCATTAATGTGTTACTCAAACAGCAAGTGACCTTTTCCTCGAGATTCACTGCAAGTTTTTCAGCCTAAGACAGAAGATCTGTTCAGCACGGCAACACTGCCTACTTTATTAAGCCACCCCTGGCTTCTTGGGGAACTGTCCAAACCACATATTTGTGACCATGACAGTTATTCTTCCTCTCTCCTTGAGAAACAAGCGCGGTCTCAGCCTGCACACACTCCTTCTGTGTATGGGGAGGAGAATTATGTTTCTACTTGGCAGCAAGGCCGTGCCCACATTGCAGCTACTGCTGCCGCAGCCCACATGGAGCAGCCTGGCCAGAGCGCTCAGACAAAGGGACGGGCACGAGCGGCCTCCCTCACGTGGCCAGGCACGTGGACACCCAGAGCGCCAGGGCCTACGGTGGGGGTGGAGGGAGGGAGCCCCCTTGTCCATCCGAGCTCCCGCTGAAGCGGGCCTTTATAGATAAACAGACTTGGGATCCCGCTGCTCACACGTGATTTTTCATGAGCACCGAAGAGGTGATTTTGTAACACAGATTGTCCAGGATAATTGATAACTCCAGACTCCTGAACTGAACTGAAAGCATTATGTGATCTTTTTGGCAGGAGACTCGTTTTCCTACCCTGCCGTGAAGGCAACCTTTCGCAAGCCTCTGTAATAGGGAGAGATTTACAGAGGAATAAGGAGCAGAGGGGAAAGCCGCCCGGTGTAGCCACAGTTCAGGAATTAAACGCTGTGGGACGCATCAGATGGAGGCCCGGTTATGAAACAAGGAGGGCGGCCTTCCCAGCCCCGTCTGTCCCTAACCTTCTGTTGGTCTTGGGCAGGTCATCCAGGCCCTGGTTTCTTTAGAAAAACGAAAGGTTTGGAACAGATGACTTACGGGAGTCCTTTCCACCTCTAAAATCGGGCATCGGGAAGCATGGGGGAAGCCTGTGGGCAGATATCAGACAAAGGCCTTGCTAGTGAGTGCTGGAAACCCACAGCCGCCAGCCCTGGACCTGCCTTCCAACAGTGGTCCTCCATGAGGTGCTGAGTAAAGCACTCCTGCTCTAGGTTACTCTTTTTCAGCTTGAATTGCTTTAAAGATCACTTTTAATAGAGACATTCTTTTTCCTGATAAGAAACTGAGATTCAGAGAGGTTAATGGTGTCCCAATTGTCACATGCTAGTAAAACACTATGCATTATCTGGAGCTCCCACAGTCTTTCTGACTGACAATCTAAGGTGGTGGTGACGATGGATTCTTTCCTTACGCAGAGGACCCGTGTCCCTTTACACCTTCTGTATACATGAGACCATGTAATACAGTAACTCAAAGAGCTGACTTTGTCAGCTACTATTCACATAAAACAAGAACAAATTGGTAAAGCTTCCTTCAAGTGGCATAAGCTCTACTGTTTCAAATGGATCGAGGCTCTTGCAGATTTCATCTACTGCTTATGGCTTTCTTCTCCTCTGAACAGGTTTGTCAAGCACCATGCACATGTGATGGCAAAAGGCCCCCAGGCCTGCTACCACTCACTTGGAAATGTGTCCTGGCAGCAGGCATGCCTGGTTGCTGGAACGAAGGAGTCAGGTTAGCAAATACTCACCCTGCTGTGCTGGGTGTCCGAGCTCCACAGGTATGGGCAGGCCCCAGCACAGAAGTTGGCATTGTACCCTTTGGGTTCATGAATCCATTTCCACCCAAGATCCCGCTTGAAATCAATGTAAAGTGGACGCAGGCAGCAGTTATCCTGCACATTTCTGTGGAGACAGAGAGCAGTGCAGATTTTAAAGCGGCTTCCCACTAGCCAAGCTCCAAACCAGAGCAATGATTCATTTGTCCAGCAAACACCTGACACGCTGTGAGCACGGGCTGAATTTTATCGTAATCTCAAATGATTTCAGGACAGGATGTGATGGGAATTCGCTGGACTACTCTCCAGTGAGTTCATTATACACTGTGACTCCCTGCCTGTAACCTAGAAAGGCAAACCTGCCCCTCAAATGACTACAGACAAGCAGGCAGGTGGCTGGGAGGGAGAGACACCAACCAACCAGTGAAGCAACCAAGGCTGTTCTGGCATCCAGCTCAAAAGCCCTTTCATGTACACGGAGTGAAAAGCAGCAGCAATAACCCAAGAACCATACAAAACTTCTCTTCTAAGTCAAGATCTATTTCACCACATATTCCCAGATGTAGGAATGAATTGGATATGAACAAAAACAGAATCTTACTAAGGGCAATCGATGATGCTAGCAACCAAAAGATGCCACTCTGCTCGTGGCTTTTGATATGCTGAGTGCTTTTATCACAGAGGACCTGGACTGGCTCAGGACCGCCTCAGGACCGTTAGCTGGGCATAGTACTACATGCCTGTAATCCCAGAACTCTGAGGCTGAGGCAGGAGGATCACTAGTTGAAGCCCAACTTGGGCAATTTAGCAATGGAGTAAGACTCTGAAGAGGAAAGAAGGAAGGAAGGGAAAGAAGAGAAAGAAAGAAGAAGGAAGAAAGAAGGAAGGAAGGAAGGAAAAAGAAAGAAAGAAAGAGAAAAGCAAGCAAGCTGAGTATATAGCTTAGTATAAAGGTATAAAGGCCCGAGTTCAATCTCCAGTAAAGCCAAAATGGCAAACACACACACCACACACACAAGTAAAACCACAACCATAAACCAAATCAGAGGCCGCTTCTTGCTATGTCTGATAGAAGCCTCGGAGAACACTCACTCTCCCCCGCAGAGCAATTCACACGGGAACTGTCCCTTCACCTCCGCCTGCGGCTCCCCGCTTGGTCACCTTCACTGCAGAAGGCCCTGGCCAAGGCCCCTCGGAAGAGAAGGGAAGGCTGCGTGTAGATGGGGGAGCTAAACCAACTCGCAGTCCTTTGGGGAGCAGAGGGCTCATTTGCCTTTTAACATCAAAGCTGCGTAGAGAAGCTGTGGCACCAACTTTCAGGGCTAGCTTCTCCTTCCACACTTGCTTTGCGGCTGAGCCGGTGACCAACACGACACAGAAGCAACTGTTTCAAGCCTGTGTGAGGATCTGAGGACCCATGCTGCCCCGTGCTGGCCTGGGCACATGAGTACCATTCAGGCCGCCGTGCAGCAAAAGACAGCAAAGGCTGGACAAGGTCAGCAGCGTTCATTCCTTTACCTAAAGCAATAGGCCGCGTCCAAAGCGCGCTTCTTCCGCCGGTTGGACGGTGGTGACTCCAGTCTGTAGGAGGGCAACAACATTAGCAGGAGATGTGGGGTCTTCCCACTGTTTGTTTTCCTAGTGGACTTTATAGTTTTCTGATCACCACTGGTATATGTGGAGGTGCCATCAATACCTTGAAAAAATGCATTTGGGTGATAAACATTTAGCTTTCTCTTCATCACACACCATCAGCTACATATATATATATATATATATTTTTTTTTTTTTTTTTTTTTTCCCTTTGCATGTTGTCATAAGTAGCAGTGATGACCACCCTCAGCCTGGCTACTGTCATTCCCCCGAGGAGACCACAGGATAACCACGGGTGACGACACTTCTAACAGGGGCTCTCATCAGAAGGCAGCTCGGTGTCAAAGAGAGGACCACGGCTCAGAGGAGTCCTGCCTAAGAAGTCTGTGACCAATGGCCCGAGGGCAGTCCAGGCCGTTGACCAGTCAGTGCTCAGTGCGGTCTGTGTTCAGACCTTTGACAGCTGCACACATGGCCACAGAAGATGCTTTGCCACCCGTGGTTCACTCCCTCCCCGGGACAGCTATGCGCAGAAGACCTCACTAAGGAACATAAACCGGCAGCTAAGCGGCAGTGAATCAGGTTCAAGTGAAGCAGGAGTCACCCTTACCTAATGCTATTTTGGGAAGCTGTGAAGAAACGGCTTTTTCATATGCATTTATTGTATGGCATCCTCAACACTTTCCTGATTCCATCTGAGATTTAGAAACTTGAGCCCCCCCCCCCCAAGCATGCTCCGGAGACTGCCAGTTTAAGCATTTAATCTCCATACAAGAGAATCATGGCTGGGTTAGAGACTGAAATAAATGCTAGACCTCTGGGAGTATTTTTCTACGATCAAGGGCCACAGTGGCCTTCTGAAAGTGGACAGAGGTCCTGGAAGATGTTAGAAAGGAAGGGAAATCAGCTCCCTGACCTGGCAGTACAGGCAGGGTTGCCCGAGCCCATGGGCACAGACTCTTGCCACCTCTCCTTAACTGGTGACGCACTGTCCAGTACAGAAAGTGACCCAGGTCCTCACACTCCTCATTCCCACTGACCTGTGGCTTACTCATTTAGAGTGGGCCAGGGGAAAACCAAAATCTTTTTATATTTTGTAAGTTACTATACTGTTCTGGTAAGGAAGTCCCTGGAAATGCTGGGTACAGGGTGCCAGTACATGGAAAGATGAGTTTAGAAACCACAATGTAAGAAGACTCCTTTGTTTAGTGAAATCGAGTTGTCTGTTCTGAGCATTCTGTTTGGGGAATTATCCACAGACTTCCTTGAATGCAGGCTACCCACTGCTATCATATGAAAACACATGGGAACTTGCCTTGCTTAAATGAAGAGTAAATGGCTCAGCTGACTATTCTAATTGTCTGAAGGGTTAACGAGCCAGTAAATTACTTTGATCATCCATCCCTGCAGCAGTGAGCCTTGGAAACTTAGAATCAGTCCCTTTCCCTTTCTTCCAATCCTTTCTGCTTCTCGCTTTCTCCAACCATATAGTCATCCACATTATGAAACTCCCCTTGTCTCACCAGCCTATCAGATGCAAACTGACTCTGGCCCCACCATGAAATCCCAACAAGAGTCCTCCCCCATCTCAGATGATTGAGTTTCACTTACCTGCGAATCTTGCTTCTAGCTCTTCAGTTTTATTGGGTATGATGTAATTATTAGATGGCACAAAGGTGCAGCAGGGACAGTGTAAACTTATCTTAAATCCGAGATTCCTATCTGGAAAACATGAAATCAAGGAGGTCATTTGCATGTGTGTTTTTGCCCTTAAATTTGCAATCAATTTACAATAACTGAGGGCCATGGAACATGGGGGAAAGAAGCGGGGTCAGTCCCCAACCTTTATGGTGAAGCCATTCATGGACAGCATCTGTCACATCGAAGGACAGCCATTCTCCTTCTGCTCTTGTTTTCACAACTTTGCTGTCAATGTAGCGCTGGTTTGGAGACGTTAAGTCTTTGGATTTGAGGATCTAAAGGGAAAGAGCAAGAGAAAAACCTTCATTGGCGCACTGACAATATGGCAACCAAACCACTATCATTATCCCAGCGCATCATCTAAATTTAACTTTGCTCCAGTCTCGCCATGCACTGTCATCTCAGCAGCGTGGCCACATGCAGAAAACGTCACACCAGGCCATTTGCCATGAAAAACAGAGCTACTAAATCAGCTGCATGTTATGATAAAGGTGACACAAACCATAAAACCACGTGTCTAAAAGAAACTGACAGTAATTATTTTATTTGCTGACTCAGGCTTTGCACGGTTTCAGCCCTAAAGTCTATGCTAGTTAAGTTGATACGCTACTTGTCTGTTGCTCCACTTATCTCTTTTCTTTGGGGGCTGAGGGACAGGGAGGAATAGAAAGAGGAATCCAGTTCAGAGGACCTGGGCTCAACCTCCAAAGTCTCTGAATTGCAAATCTCCTTCTAATAACAAGAAAAAGATCTAATCTTTGATCCCAAAATTCACTGGCCTTAAAATAAGGGTCCAGCCTCAGCTTTGGAGGTAAGGCTCCATCTGGGCTTTTGACTCCCCATGTGACTTGCTCTGATTTATGAAGATCCCCCCATACTACAGTCCAAGAATGAACTTGAGCAGGAGCAATCTGGCTTAGCGTGCGGAAGACAATCTGCAAGTCAATCAGCCTGGACCCTGGGATTCCAGGAAGACCCTTTGTTTCAAATAAATACAGAGCAACTGCGGCATTCTTGGGTTTCTATGGGAAATAAACACTTGAGGCAGTTTCTAACAATGCTATCTTGAAATGATAGTGTTTCATGAACTAAACTACCACCCTGCGTCTCCTAGAGCTAGAACAAATCCCAGCCCTGACTCTGTAGGCCACTCTGCTCATCCTAAGGGGCTCAGACAGCATTCAGTCTAAGTCCGCTGTAGTCATTTCATGCTATGGATTTGGTCTCTCCAAAACCATAAGCTTCTCGAAGTCAGAGGTCATGTCTTTGGTGTGACATCACTCCAAGCACAACGCTGAATGGAACTAGTGTGTGTTAAAGGACAGTCAGAATATCAAGAACACCTTCTTAACTCTCCTGCAAATCTTATAGAGCAAAAATGTGTAATCTTCCCTCTGATTTTGAAATCACTTTCTTCCCGTGTGTGTACACTATTTGCTTCAGGTAATCTGGCAACAAACTCTTCCTGGAATATTATTATAGAAGACTTTTATTTTTCTGGAATAAGAAAGTATAGAAAAGGAAATAGACTCATACAGTTGGACTCCTGGGCGCCCTCCTAAAGAGACAAAGCCTATACTATAGACCTCCCTCGGTGGTCCCGCGAAACCCACTACATGGAAAGAACCAAGAGGTATCGGTAATGTGACCCTGGAACAGTCAAGAGAGGCACTTTGTGAACCATGGGAAACAAGGAAGCATGACTCAGAAGCCGAGCATAATGGCCTCTGGGCTTGCTACACATATTTCACTCAATTTAATCTTCAGTATGTTCCTGTAAGGTAGATGAAGGGCACGGGAACTCAGAGAGGTGGAGAAACTGGCCAACATCTCACAGTGAACAGGGTGGGGAGGATTCCAGGCAGCCCAGCCCACTTTCCCACTGCAGTGCTGCATGCGACAGGCCGGAAAAGTTACGGGAGCCAAAGTTGGATCATGATTCACCGTGACCCCTTTCCAGATGGCAGAAAGCATTCCATAGTAACAGCAAAGATCTTTAAATAAGATTAGAATGAATGAGGCACACGACGAAAATGTAACATGGTGGAATGTAAACGCAGTTAAAGCTGGTATACAGATATAACTTTCAAAGGACAGCTTAACAGAGGGCAGCATTACCCTCTGTTACCTCTAAGCGTTAAAGATGGCCTTGAAAATAACTCCCAGTTGGACGACAGGACATCACTTGTCCAATTGAGAATAAACGCATACTAGCCTATGATGGGGTAAGGCCAATAGAAACAATGCTTGGGAAGAGGTCTTCAGACATTCCCATCTGTCTCACTAGTTAAAACTTCCTGCCATGCACCAAGCTCAATACTCTGTCTTTAAATTGTCCTTCTGGTTGATTTCCTACAGGGATAGGTTGGGGTCACACAGCCCTTTGCATATTTGCTGAGCTCCCAAGTAGCATACTGTATGTATTATTCATCATTGTATAACTTATACATAGACACACTGCCTAGAACAAAACACTACTCTCACTGTAGAGTTAATTATATATATTACTATACTATGATATAATTTATGACATATTTTTAACATGCAAATTATATATTAAGTTTATACCAAATATCAAATGTGCATGTCTATATGATACATGCACATATAGCTACACTTATGTGATATTCAGCCCCAAAACTTAGACACAAAACTTAAAAAGAAACTTATGACCATTTTGACCAAATGAATGTAAAAAATGCAGATCAATGAATTTTTGAAAATTCTTTAGGTCACAGAGAAAGAATAAATGTGGATTATCTTGCTGTAAAAAGAAAATAGAGTACCAAAGAGAGCCTGGAGCTTTCTTGCTTTAAATCTTACTAGCAGTCTGAGCAGCCAGAGCTGCCCTAACCTTAGAGCCCTGGGACCACAACCACGGGCACCCTCATCTCTCACATGGCTAAAAGGCGCTCTCAAGTCCCTTTCCTTTTCTTGTTCCTTTTTCCTCCTCCTCCTCTTGCTCCTCCTTTTCCTTTTTACCACTACGTGGTTGTAGAATACATAACCCACTCAGGAAACAGGCAACTGCGTAATTCTGAAGCAGGGGAGGGACTGGGTCTCGCCAGTCTGTTGCTTTGCACTTCACGGACAAGGAGCTTTCTGCCTACCTGCTGCTTCTGAGCTCCAGTCTTCTTCTCCATCCTTGGCAGAACAGGAAACAGCTGCTTCCTCACTCAGAGAATACCCCACATATTCTTGGAGACGATGATGAAGGTCCACTCAGTGTACTCAGCTCTCTCCCTCAGCCTAATAAACCCAGCTCCCTTATTCCATGTTTACAGGGACAGTTTCCAAACCTGTCATTATTTGGGTGGCTACCAAGGATGGAAGATGCTCTATGGGGGTATCCCTCCCACAGCTTCCTGACTCCCCTTCGGAGCTGTCCAGTAAACCTTCCGATCCCATTTCAACACAGCAGCGTAACTGGAAAGCTGTCTGTTTCCACCTAACAGTTACAACTCCCTTTCCCCTGCTTAGGTACTGATTATCACTAAGCTAAGTTACACCAAGAGTAAAGAAGGCCTGTGAATCAACTTCTACCATTTGTCTTCCCTTAAGTTCAGAATTCATACAAAAAGTGACCAGGCGAGTCACCTGCCCCTGCTGTGTATCCTTGTTCAGCCTCCACAGCAAGGACACGAAGGTTAACAGTGGAGACTGTGCGGTGGTCTTTTAGGCCCTCAGCCACTGGTTCCTACGTTGCTTTCCACATCATAGCACAACTGAGATAAGCCTGTGGAGCTGCAGGAGCTTCCTCCCTGGCCTGTTCACTTCATCACTGTGCTCCATCAGGGGCAGAGCTATGCACCTGCCGGGGGCCCACAGCACCCCGGGGCGCGTGGCGGGGAAGCTGCTCTCCAGGAGCTTCCGGTCTTCCCAGTGGATTTGTGCACTTAGCAAGTTTCTACTGTGTGTTTTCAAACCTGCTCCTGACACTTAGACTTATTCCTGCAATTATAGGACTTAATTAAATGATTCAAACTGATGATGCAATACAGGAACAACAGAAAAAGAGCTGCAGCTTCTGTGAAAACCCTGAGAGTGTCTTGAAAAGTCAAAAGTCAAGCTGCTATAAGAAAAATGTTTTCTGGAAAAGTCTGGCCATTCCTCAAAAGAATAAACGTAAGAGTTATCATGTGATCTAGCAATTCCACTCCTGGGCAAAACCCTGGTGAGTGAGCGCAGACAAACAGGTAGCCACAAAGGGGAACAGAATAGTCACACATCCCAGCATGGACACACTGTGAGGACGTTACACCGAGTCTCGTAAGCCAGACACAAAAGGACAGACACTGCGCGTTTAACTCAGAGAGAACCCTACATAGGCAGAACTCACAGGGAGGAACAGCAGAAGAGGTCCCTGGGGCAGGGAGGAGAGGGTAATGGGCCAATATGTTGTCACTGCTGCAGAACTCCTAGCTGGGGTAAAAGAATTCGGGAAATGGATTGTGATGATGGCAGCACTGCGAATATACTCAGTGTCACTGGATTGTGTAAACAATTATTAAAAGTAAATATATATATGGTGTTTTTCTAATCCACGTGTATGGGAGATAGCCATAAAATAGGTACTAGAATGAAATCACATGAGTGCAATCCCACACTCTGAAAGTTTGACAAGTTCTTTAACTTTCTACTTCAACAAAAATAAAAATTAGAAATCATAAATGATGCACTGTGGATGTGGCTCAGGTTAAAAAAAAAAGTCATGACAACTGGGAAGGGCGATGTCAAAAAAATTCCTTTGCCTTCCAAAAAATATTCAGCCTCAGCATGAGAGTGCTTGTTTGTGTGTGCATACATGAGTACACATATTTACATACAGTCATTTGAAATTTGAAAATTTAAGATCACGTCTCTCTGTCTTTTTAATCCTCTACTTTAATATCTTTCTTTTTAAATAGTTGACCAACAACCGGTCCTGCCTGAATTAGAAAGGAGGATTCCCATGAGCTGAAAATGAGACTTGGCTGTCTCTGGCTTGGGCCCACCTGCAGAGATGTCTGCCGCTGCCTTCATTACTGCTACACACACCTTACACATGCCATGTGCACAGTGCCCACACAGCACCTCTGGCAAGGCTCTAAGCTCTTCACCAAGTCACAAAACCCCTACACAAAAGGATTCATTCATTTCTCCACTCCTGGAAAGCAGCCAGACAGAGAGTGGATAGGAATGGAAGTCACTCATGTTACCCAATGTTTGGAGGTTAAAAAAAAACAAGAATTAAAACACTAGCTGCAAAATTATAACCAAAGAAAATCTTAGAATT